CCTAATGCCAGGAAGAGATCAACTGGTACATGCTGCGATTCCCCCTCTTAGAAGGCGATCTTCAGGCTGACAGGTGGGTTGTGTAATCTGTGGTGTGTGTGCGTGTGGAAAGACAGAGAGAGAGAGAGAGAGAGAGAGAGAGAGAGCGCGCGGGCACGGGAAGGTGTCGTACGGTGGTGGGTGATGCAGTTCGTGTTGGGTTGCGGCGAACAAAAAAGAGCTACAATCAATCACTCACGAAACATTTGAGGTTGGCCCTCCACAGCCGAGACAATCCGTCACGTGACAGCCGTTGTCTAGGTGGATATGTGCACGTCGTGGGCAACCACCTCCATTCTCGTCAAGTTTCAAATGCTCTGTGACGCGTTGATACCACATACACACACACACACACACGCGCGCGCGCACAGGCTACAGGTAATGTATTGTCTGCATGTGCTCTCTCCTTATAGACTGGTTCATTTGATCCCCCTTCGCTACCCATCTTACGCTTTTGGGGCGCCGCACAATTGCCAGGACCTGCCCTGTACGGTAGGATACGGTATGGTAGGGAAGGTAGGCAGGCTGTACCTATCGTGCCTGCCTTGCATGGACACAGTGCACCTTCCATTGTTGGTCCTGTTGTGTTCTGTTGACAACCCCGCTCAACATCCATCCCACCTTTTCTGCAACAGAGGCGGTAGTTACTCGGCAACATTGATACAATAATTACTCGCCATGAGGACGAACAGGACAGCAAATGAATCCACAGTCTCTCTGTTCGATACCATGCTGAACCAGGCGTTACGCATACTTTGCCTATACTTTGCCTATACTTTGCCTATACTTTGCCTATACTTTGCCTATACTTTGCCTATACTTTGCCTATACTTTGCCTATACTTTGCCTATACTTTGCCTATACTTTGCCTATACTTTGCCTATACTTTACCCATAAGCAAGGTTTCCTTGCATCTAACCTCAGACGCTTGCCCTCATCAACATGCCTCCCCTGATCATGGTCTTCTACTTCATATACACCATGAATGCTTCCAACTCTCAACTCATACTCGTCAACCCTGCTGACCGTACAACATGCAACGACAATGTTTGCTACCATCGCCAGCGACCTGGGAGTTTGCTCACTCAACCACTACATGTCTCATCCATCAGGCTGGTAATCCAATAAAATAACAGCCCGCAAATACATGCGCATCATATCTTCCCATGGTACACTGCCAGCGAGCTTAGCCTACTTGGCTCATCTAGACAGCCACTGCATTCAGCACTTGCATCTCACAAGGTGAATGGCCATGTCTGCACCATGTCGAATAGGAGCTCTACAGATCAGGTATGGCTCGACGAGTTCTGGACGCTATAATTGCCATGTTATAAAGATGCAGTTCGGCCTTGCACTTGCTCTCGACTTCTTTCGCTCCTTTGGCCCTCAGCTTGGAAGTCCGCTTCCTATTATAGAATCAATAGCAACTCTCCACGTCTATTGACATCAATTATTGGCGCGAGGCTGTAATCTGGCAAGGGACGAATTGCTTCATGGTTGGCTAGTCAAGAGCGGTACCGGTACGACTGATTAGGATTCCTCACAAACCTGAATTGGGATATAACGCATCACAATCCTACGGTTCCCCCTATCGAACACCACGAGTCTATCAATGGCTTGTGCACTTGGATCCTCTGGTCGGGGCCCATTCGCTCCAACTGGCTCGTACGATCATTCATACTCGTGCCCCAATGAGACGTACTATCCCTACCAAGAACGCCCATATAGCGGGCAGACAAACCAACAAAGACATCCATATGCGCATCCGAACCGCAATCGCCAATCGCTATTCGGTGGTCTCGGGGGCTCAGCCTTTTCAAACTACGGTCCATCCAACCCGTACACCAGGCCACGTAGCTACCCAGACTTCGGAGCGAACTTGGGCATGGGAACGGGCATGAACGCAGGCATAGGCGCAGGCATGAACTCAACCATGGGTTACGGAAGTCGAAGTTTTGGCTTCTCACAATCGCCATTCGCGGGACTGCAGTCGCCACGTGGTATCTTTGCTGGCTCCATGCCTGGACGCGAACAACGCGATCAACGCGATCAGCGTTCCCAATTCAGCCCTTCCAATAATCATCGTGGGCAGGCTGGTACGAGAATATACCAGTTGCCACAGTTTTTGGATGACGACGACGAATCTGTCGACGAAGACTACCGCTCTTTTATACAGCATGCTTCTCAAAGACAAAGGCAAGCCCCGTTTGGATGCAACCAACGGCCGATCTATGGAATTTGCTTTGACCCCAGACGTCATTGCGGTTACGACAACTACGATGACTATAAAGATGACGAGGTTGACGACTACTTTTCTCATCCTACGCGGCAACGACAAAGATTCTACTAGTGCGTGCATCCTAGACGCAGTTGCAAACATTTCCACTCCTTCTCGTCATTTCAAAGCCCAGCTTTTGTCACAACATCATTTTGGATGAAGACAGTTGTAACCAGAAGCCCAACAATTTCTGCGGCCTCATTGGCTACTCTCGTGATGAGTGGGAAATGTAAAACCGATATCAGCAATTATACCTCCACAAGGGAATTAAAAACCATTTCTGTATCTCCAAGATCCTTACGAATATGAAATAATTGTGATTTCTAAACAATACACTCCCCGAATATCTACCCCT